AACACTTTGGATAACATTTTATTGCTCTCAAAGCCAGTTTCAGGAACCGTAATCCCATGAATGTACTGTGTATAGATGAACAGTCCATCTGAGCCTGGTTCCTCTCTAGGATCCTTCCATCTGAGCCTGGTTCCTCTCTAGGTTCCTCCCTCAGCCTGGTTGCTCTCTAGGTTCCTCCCTTTGAGCCTGGTTCCTCTCTAGGTTCCTTCTTCTGAGCTTGGTTCCTCTCTAGGTTCCTCCCTCTGAGCCTGGTTCCTCTCTAGGTTCCTTCCTCTGAGCCTGGTTCCTCTCTGAGCCTGGTTCCTCTCTAGGTTCCTTCATCTGAGCTTGGTTCCTCTCTAGGTTCCTTCTTCTGAGCTTGGTTCCTCTCTAGGTTCCTTCATCTGAGCTTGGTTCCTCTCTAGGTTCCTTCCTCTGAGCCTGGTGCCTCTCTAGGTTCCTTCCTCTGTGCCTGGTTCCTCTCTAGGTTCCTTCCTCAGCCTGGTTCCTTTCTAGGTTCCTTCCTCTGAGCCTGGTTCCTCGCTAGGTTCCTCCCTCAGCCTGGTTCCTCTCTAGGTTCCTCCCTCTGAGCCTGGTTCCTCTCTAGGTTATTTCCTCTGAGCCTGGTTCCTCTCTGAGACTGGTTCCTCTCTAGGTTCCTTCCTCTGAACTTGGTTCTTCTCTAGGTTCCTTCCTCAGCCTGGTTCCTCTCTAGGTTCCTTCCTCTGAGCCTGGTTCCTCGCTAGGTTCCTCCCTCAGCCTGGTGCCTCTCTAGGTTCCTCCCTTTGAGCCTGGTTCCTCTCTAGGTTCCTTCTTCTGAGCTTGGTTCCTCTCTAGGTTCCTTCATCTGAGCTTGGTTCCTCTCTAGGTTCCTTCCTCTGAGCCTGGTGCCTCTCTAGGTTCCTTCCTCTGTGCCTGGTTCCTCTCTAGGTTCCTTCCTCAGCCTGGTTCCTTTCTAGGTTCCTTCCTCTGAGCCTGGTTCCTTGCTAGGTTCCTCCCTCAGCCTGGTTCCTCTCTAGTTTCCTCCCTCTGAGCCTGGTTCCTCTCTAGGTTATTTCCTCTGAGCCTGGTTCCTCTCTGAGACTGGTTCCTCTCTAGGTTTCTTCCTCTGAACTTGGTTCTTCTCTAGGTTCCTTCCTCAGCCTGGTGCCTCTCTAGGTTCCTCCCTTTGAGCCTGGTTCCTCTCTAGGTTCCTTCTTCTGAGCTTGGTTCCTCTCTAGGTTCCTCCCTCTGAGCGTGCTTCCTCTCTAGGTTCCTTCCTTCTAGGGAGCTTTACCTGCTTGCACATTTGGGGTTTTAGGCTGGGTATCTGTAAAGCACTTTGTGACAGCTGCTGAAGTAAAAAGTGCTTTATAAAATATGTTTGATTAATTGATCGAATGTTAAGTAAATTAGATTAAATTTGTATTCACTATAGTCTCTACTCAGCCAGTAATAAATAATTGGGGGGTGCTTATATTTGTCCTGTTACACACAAATGTGTTTTTTTGCATATCCCAACTCCCCATGAGACACCCGCAGGAAGTGGAGTCACAGCCAGGGTCACCATTGTACAGCGGGCCTTAACATTTTTTGTGTTAAGTGCCTTGTTCAAGGCCACAGCAACAGATTTTTCCCCCACCTTGTCAGCTCTGGTATTCGAACCAGCAACCTTTCGGTTACTGGCTCGACACGCTGACCTCGAGGCTACCAGCCACTACCTGCTGCCCTGGATAAATCAGAGACAGTTAGACTGAGTCATCTTTTGGTCTGACAGCCCAGTGGAGTAAAGAGAAGATGGAGTGAAGTTGCAGAGGGGAGGAGGATTGAGGAATGTGGAGTGGAACGAGGGATCCTTGGAGACAAGGAGGAGGGAGAGAAAGTAACAGATGGGTCGTTCCACAAAAATAAAAGAGGCCTTTTGTGTCTCTTTGATACTTGAAGTAGAAATGGTGCACCAATATTGAATTTTAAAAGCCTGCTATTAAATGAAGTGCCCTTTAATATAGACCACATGGAGAATTCAATACATCAGATTTTTAGAATAAAGGCTTGCTAAGGTGACAAAATTCACAATTTTGACATGTCCCTCCGTCAAACCTGTGTAACTTCTAGGAAGATTTTAACCCACTTAATCCGCAAATGTCTCCAAGTTTCACCATCACTGTAAAGCCGTAGTTATTTTTTTACTTTGACGAAATCATTTCTGACGATTATTATTTATTTCATGTGATTCATTTACGTCTGTCCCTCATTTTAAGGTCAGCTCTGTGACCTGAGCTGAATTCTAATTTTAAAGGTAGACTCAGCGATATGATGTAGATGCAGAAAGTAAACAGCGTAGTGGGTTAATTTTCGCAACAACTAAGAGCATTGAATCGCGAGGCTCAATTTCTCCGCTCTTTTGATGCCCTGGCTACCACGCTGGTGAACAGCATGAAGTGAACCCGTGCACATGCGCAGATAATGTGTGTTACTGTGTGAGAGTGAAGTGTTGCGTCTCGCCCATCTCAATTTCTCCGGTGCTGCTCGTGGCAACATCATTTTGCTGAGTCCACCTTTAGTTAATATGTTGAAACTATTCCTTTTTAAATCGTTTTTTCAAAAGAAACATTGAACATTGTTATGATGATTTGTGATACAACATTAATTAATGTATGAAGCTGTATGTGGACAGAGAACAAGGACACATCATGTGTCATTGGTGTCACGAGTGAGTAACAGAAGGTCAGTGTGCCAAGATAGATTGGGGGCCACTGTTGCTAATCTTAGGAAGGGCGCGTGATGGAATGGCCTGGCTAGGGTGCCACATGATACCAAGTAGGTGAATGATATGATGGAGGATGAGTGACACATAATAATGGTTAGCAACTGTGTAAGATAAAAGTAGATTGGAAGGGGCATTGTATAAGCTGAGAGATTTTGTATGGAAGTCATTCAGATGGCAGGAGGCTATGTCCGTACCCCCTGTCATTGAATCCAATATTGCGACCATTAAATAATGACTGAAACCAATCTCCATCTGCGTAACATACTCTCTTGCATTCTGAACTTCTCAATACCAGAAAATCATCATAACAAACATCTAATAGTCAAATCATAGAGTAAAAGCAGGTGAGCCGGTTCTACTCTTTTTGGCCATTTTGTGGTGTTTTGGGGTGGAAAACTGAGCAGGTGGAGCATGACGTCAACCTTGTTACCCATGGAGAGACAGGATAACTGAGTAGGTGTGGCATGACGTCAACCTTGTTACCCATGGAGAGACAGGATAACTGAGTAGGTGTGGCATGACGTCAACCTTGTTACCCATGGAGAGACAGGATAACTGAGTAGGTGTGGCATGACGTCAACCTTGTTACCCATGGAGAGACAGGATAACTGAGCAGGTGGAGCATGACGTCAACCTTGTTACCCATAGAGAGACAGGATAACTGAGTAGGTGTGGCATGACGTCAACCTTGTTACCCATGGAGAGACAGGATAACTGAGCAGCTGGAGCATGACGTCAACCTTGTTACCCATGGAGAGACAGGATAACTGAGCAGGTGGAGCATAACGTCAACCTTGTTACCCGTAGAGAGACAGGATAACTGAGCAGGTGGAGCATAACGTCAACCTTGTTACCCGTAGAGAGACAGGATAACTGAGCAGGTGGAGCATGACGTCAACCTTGTTACCCGTAGAGAGACAGGATAACTGAGCAGCTGGAGCATGACGTCAACCTTGTTACCCGTAGAGAGACAGGATAACTGAGCAGCTGGAGCATTACGTCAACCTTGTTACCCGTAGAGAGACAGGATAACTGAGCAGCTGGAGCATGACGTCAACCTTGTTACCCATGGAGAGACAGGATAACTGAGCAGCTGGAGCATGACGTCAACCTTGTTACCCATGGAGAGACAGGATAACTGAGCAGGTGTGGCATGACGTCAACCTTGTTACCCGTAGAGAGACAGGATAACTGAGCAGGTGGAGCATGACGTCAACCTAGTTACCCATGTAGAGACAGGATAACTGAGCAGGTGTGGCATGACGTCAACCTTGTTACCCATGGAGAGACAGGATAACTGAGCAGGTGTGGCATGACGTCAACCTTGTTACCCATGGAGAGACAGGATAACTGAGCAGGTGTGGCATGACGTCAACCTTGTTACCCATAGAGAGACAGGATAACTGAGCACTACTTTTGACAAGGGCCCTATAAAGGACAAATCGGCTCTGGTCAAAACTGTTGCACTATAATGGCTTTCCCAGGCACTTCATAGACCTGCTCTGAGGGAGGGGGGGGGGGGGGGACTGAATAACCCATCATTCTGCTGTACCTCTGACCTCTGACCTCTGTGGTGAATGATTAAATATTAACATCATGGATTATATACTGGAGGAGGGTAGAGGATATGTGGTGATTAATATAAACATCATGGATTATATAATGGAGCTGTGTTTATCATACTGCCCCTTTGCTTAAATAGTTGGGACACATTTAAAGTTATTTATAGTCTAGTGTGCATAGAGTAAAGATCAATTATTACAATAGTATTATTAGAACTGTGGAAGTCTGTTAACCCCCAGATATGTCAATCAACAATGAGAGTAACTAGTGGTAGGTTAACTGTAGAGGCTCCTCCCTCTGGTCTTCCCTGTCTGTCTCCTTATAGGTGGGTCCTGCAGCCTCTCCTCTCCTCACACACCAACCCTGCTCATCTCTCAGCTGGACAGTAAGGGCCGTTCACACCACACACTGACAACATGCTGGGGACACTCTGTACTCTCATCACTGCTCTAATATGTAAGGAGTCTGACTTCCTGGAGGTTTTACTTCATGTTTTATGAATAATGAGTCTGTATGTTTCTCTTTACTACATGTAATCTTCTCATTTCCCAGGTGTCAGTGGTGTGACTGTGGTGACACAGAAGCCTCCTGTTGTGGCAGTGAGGAAAGGAGAGATGGCCACTATTGACTGTAACCTGGGGACTGTTGATAATAGAGACGGCCACTATCGACTGTAACCTGGGGACTGTTGAGAATAGAGACGGCCACTATGGACTGTAACCTGGGGACTGTTGAGAATAGTGCTGCTCGTTTGGTATAAACAGGTTCCAGGAGGAGTCCCTCAGTACGTGTTAAGGTGGTACCACACTGGTTGGAGCTCTGTAGAATATGGTTCTGGTTTCTCCTCTCCTAAATTCACATCTAATCATCAGTCTAAATCAGATTATCGTTTGATTATTAATAATGTGGAGGAGGAGGACTCAGCAGTGTATTACTGTCAGACCTGGGACGACTCTGCTAAAGAGTACGTATCACAGTGATATACACCATGACAAAAACCTCCTCACCAAATACACTCACTTCTGCTTTCAGATGTTCTGAATATAAATACTAACTGAATGTCAAGTCATCCTGAACCAGTGTGTCTGCAGTAGGAGAACATGCCATGCTTGTGTTTCACACAAAACCCTTCACACATTTAGTAGAATGTTGTCATGAACAATTACACCTAGTTGTCACAAACCATGAATCATAAAGTGATATTCCAGATGGTCCTTTCAGTCCTAACAGAAGACTCCATGTATCAGATAACCTCCATGATAGTCAGTCCCCTGGTTTACAGTAGAGACATATTACATCAACAGTCATTTAGTGATATACTGTTAGTTCAGAACCCCACTATCAGGTCCAGATAATATTATAATAATATTATTAGTATGTATATTATGACATGCTGATATAAACTAACTTACGTAACTGAGAAGAAACATAATACTGCTCTTTACAATGCAACAAAAAATATACAATATGTTTATGAATTAGTCCTCTCTCAAATATTTAAATGTTTTATAGTTTAATAGTAGCTGTAATTTAAATGTATATCATCATTATAAAAAATATAGGATATATAAAATGATTATTTTGAAATCTGTCTGTTGGTCTTGTGAAGCCCCCCCCCCCCCCCCCCCCCCAGATACAGTATGTTTGAGAGTAGCCCCCTCCCTCTGGTCCTCCCTGGCTTGGTGATAGGTTAACTGTAGAGGCACCTCCCTCTGGTCATCCCTGTGTGTCTCCTTATAGGTGGGTCCTGCAGCCTCTCCTCTCCTCACACACGCCAACCCTGCTCATCTCTCTGGACAGTAAGGGTCGTTCACACCACACACGGACAACATGCTGGGGACACTCTGCACTCTCATCACTGCTCTAACATGTAAGGAGTCTGACTTCCTGGAGGTTTTACTTCATGTTTTATGAATAATGAGTCTGTATGTTTCTCTTTACTACATGTCATCTTCTCATTTCCCAGGTGTCAGTGGTGTGACTGTGGTGACACATAAGCCTCCTGTTGTGGCAGTGAGGAAAGGAGAGACGGCCACTATTGACTGTAACCTGGGGACTGTTGATAATAGAGACGGCCACTATGGACTGTAACCTGGGGACTGTTGATAATAGAGACGGCCACTATGGACTGTAACCTGGGGACAGTTGATAATAGAGACGGCCACTATGGACTGTAACCTGGGGACTGTTGATAATAGAGACGGCCACTATGGACTGTAACCTGGGGACTGTTGATAATAGAGACGGCCACTATGGACTGTAACCTGGGGACAGTTGATAATAGAGACGGCCACTATGGACTGTAACCTGGGGACTGTTGATAATAGAGACGGCCACTATGGACTGTAACCTGGGGACTGTTGATAATAGAGACGGCCACTCTGGACTGTAACCTGGGGACTGTTGATAATAGTGCTCATTGGTACAAACAGGTTCCAGGAGGAGTTCCTCAGTACGTTTTACAGTGGTACTACTATAATTGGACCTCTGTAAAATATGGCTCCGGTTTCTCCTCTCCTAAGTTCACATCTAATCATCAGTCTATATCAGATTATCGTTTGATTATTAATAATGTGGAGGAGAAAGACTCAGCAGTGTATTACTGTAAGACAAATGACTACTCTGTTGACGAGTGGGTATCACAGTGATATACACCAGGACAAAAACCTCCTCCCCAAATACACCCACTTCTGCTTTATGCGTGGCAGAGGGGTGAACTCTAAGAAACAGCAGTTGAAGTTGATCAGTCATTATTATAACAATATATACATGACACAATGGGAGATCTGGAAATTGAAGAATCATCCATCCCTACATGTCAAAAAGATCATAAGAAGACTGTGAAAAGAGATTTGGCCTTTCTCGATGTAATCATCATCAAGTCAAGACTGCATCATATAGATAGTGCTTTAACTGATGGATTCAAAAGGACCAGACACCAACAGCAGAATATGACGCTATACTATATACTGTTACTTCATAAAGAGAAACTCTAGAAAAGCCTGACATGTTTGTAGTGAGAGTGAAGCTCTGTCAAATGGGATGTTTCAGTTCCTGTTCTCTCAGTAGTTAGAGTGAAGCTTTGTCTAAATGGGATGTTTCAGTTCCTGTCCCCTCAGTAGTGAGAATGAAGCTCTGTCTAAATGGGATGTTTCAGTTCCTGTCCTCTCAGTAGTGAGAATGAAGCTCTGTCTAAATGGGATGTTTCAGTTCCTGTCCTCTCAGTAGTAAGAGTGAGGAGTTTTTTGTATGGCCGTGTATACAAACTGAAACACAGTGGTATTCGGACCAGGAACCAAGCTGATTGTTACTGGTGAGTACCCTTCTAATGTTTTAATCTACAGAATATGCTTTGTTTCTAATATAATGTTGGTCAGATATATATATATTTTTAATGTTTTAATTCATAAAATGTAATTTATATTATATATTTACTGATTTAATATTTTGCACCTGCTTTAATCCTGTCTCGTATGTTGTTTGTAAATTATTTAGAAAACATTTTGACAGTGTGAATGCCTGCTATGTTCATGTTTTATCATGCAAACTTGTGTTTTTGTTGTCTATATAGATCCATGCAAAGGAGATATTTAATCTCCAGAAATGTTATCCAGTTCAATTTCTTAGACAAATATATATATATATACATTTATTTATTTTTATATTCCATTTGCTTGTGAATTATTTGTATTTTATATTTACAATGTGCACATTTCGTTCAGCTTTTAGCATTTGAGTCTTCCAAGACTGTGATGTAATATTGTAATTAATGTATCCAGAAATTGATATGTCTCTCTGCTCCATGGGAAAATAAAATTTTAACACCGTATGATTACTTCTATCAATATAATTGTGAACATAATGAACAGCAGTTCTATATTTAATTGCTGCATCAGTTTCCTCTTAATGCAGGGTGTATTGGTAATGATACCAACATCTACTGAAATATAAACTGTTATCAAATCTGTTCCCTTCTAATCCCATCCATTGACTATTTTCTAATCTAGATGGAGATCTTTCTACACCTGCTGTGACCCTGTTCCCTCCATCCACTGAAGACCTCAAGTCCAGCAGAGCAACACTAGTGTGTCTGGCCAGCAACCTGTCTTAGAGGTCCAAGGGGTTTGCAGATGTCAGCTGGATGTCTAACGGTGAATCAGTGACAGAAGATGTTTCTACCAGTCCTGCTGAGCAGCAACCAGACAAAACCTTCAAGATCAGCAGCTATCTGATCATTCAGACTACAGAGTGGGACAAGGACGTGGTGTTCACATGTAAAGTGTCATTAGGGTCAACATTCTCTGAGAAAGAGATCAGAAAGACTAGTTGCAGTCTGTAAAGCAATAGTTTCAATATTTAATGAGTGCAGTTGGGAGTTTATAGCTTTTAAGTGATGTTTTGATCTTTGCTTTGCTGTCAAATATAGGAGTTAAAATCCAAACAACATGGATGATATTGGGCTGAAGTATGAATGCAGCAGTGAATAGTATGACAATAACCAATGTAATGTCAAATAGTTGTTTAGGGTTGTTTCTCATGACAAGTTACTGTTGATGCATTCACTGTACGAGCATCATGTTCTCTAAAACATAACATCTGAAATACTGTCATGATGAGTAGACCTATACTATGGGGAAATGAGTTGAATTACTAATGATGAATAGAGGAAATGTTATAGCTTTGCTGTATTGTGGATATTCAATAAAGAGCATTCTAAAGAACAAGTGTTTGTATTTGAGCATGTTGATGAGCATCAGTGTTAGCAGCACTAAATGACGGGGAATCAGGAGAATCATTGTTTAAATTGAACCAAGACAGAGGAGCCCAGAATCCTTACCAGGTTTATTATCATAAAAAGGATTCTGACCAACCAGAGATGACCTAACAGTTTACTGTAGCCTTACATTGAAGAGCATGTTGTTATTATGATATAAATGTAGGCTGTACTTTTCACAGCACTGAATTAGGGTGAATCTGGAAACTATTTAAACCAAGATAGAGGAGGATGGAGGGATGTGGAGTGGAACGAGAGACACTTGAAGACACGGAGGACGGAGAGAAAGTGACAGAGAAAGAAAAGCATCCAGGTATTTCAGACTAGAACACCGGTCTCCATTTTAACTGCGGATGCAGGAATGACAGGTCAATGTTTAGAGAGTTTGAAGCTGCCATTATTACATGGTTTAAACTGTTCTCTAGTATTGACATTAGATGTTGGACTCAGTATCATTTCAGCATTAATAACAACTGTATAGGTCTGGCCTTCACTTAGTCTCCCATTGACATCAATCCATGACTAAGTAAACACTCAACTCACTGAGTCCCTTTATCTACTTCCCCAGAGTCAGATGAAGATACCCATAGACTTCAAGTCATTGCACTAACGCTAGTTAGCATTGGCTCACTAAAATACCTCTAACTGCCTTCATACTGGACACAGATACATAAAAATGGTATGAACAAGTTCATCTGACACCGGGGAAGTATATAAAGGGCCAAAATCCCGAAGTATCCCTTTAAGTGGAAGTTAGGATTTGCCCCACATATAGAAGCATGTCATGCTGTGTTTCACATTCAGCATCAGTGATCATAATAGAGGCTGCAGGTCTGTCAATGTCCACCAGAGGAGGACATAGGACCACCAATAATGACTGAGGAAAGATCTACATGTACTTTACAACAGGACCAGCTGTCTGCAGACTACTGGTTTCAGTCCCACCCAAAGACCAGCTGATGGTTTCATGTCTAATATCTCTAGTTATCAGAGTCATTCAGCAGGGACGTGTTCTAGCTCTGACACTGAGTTACAGGCAGTGATGTGTTGCTCTCTTTCTTTCTCCCCCAGGACACACCTGCTTCCCCTCCCCTCCTCCTCCCCTCCTCCTCTCCTTATTTATAGCTTCATGTAAATGAAGAGGTTATTTTATCTCCTCTCAGAACTGTGGGGGGGTGGTGGGGGGACCTGCAGGTGACCAGAGGAGTGAACTGAGACTGAAGCTGAGTCCCAAATCGCTCAGGCCAAAAGTAGTGCACTACAGGGAATAGGGTGCCAATAGGGTTCCAATAGGGACATATTCTGAGTACCTCATCATTATGTTGGTCCTGTGTAGAACTAGTATAGGATATTAAACTCCAGTTAAACTCCAGAAGGGGTGTCCACATACTTTTGTATATAGTATATGTCCAACAATAAATCAATAGAAAACACAAAAAGGCTCACCAGTTGGGGAAACTCTGAAGTAGAGGGTCATATGTCTGTGTAATATACTAATATATGGTTCAGTGGTGATAAGGAGTGACGAGTGACGTTTAGAATAGTTTAAAGGGCTATGAGCTATGAGAGAGATTATATTTATGTCACGATCGTCAAAAGGATTGGACCAATGCGCAGCGTGGAATGCGAACATACTTTATTATATATTCACCACACGAACAAAAACAACAAAACGATATGTGAAGTCCTTGGTCACAAACACAAACCAACACGGAACAAGATCCCACAATACACTGTGCCAAACAGGCTGCCTAAATATGGTTCCCAATCAGAGACAACAAGCAACAGCTGATTCTCGTTGCCTCTGATTGAGAACCACCCCGGGCCAACATAGATACACATGAACTAGAAACTGAAACAAAGAACACAAAACATAGACTCTACACACCCTGGCTCAACAGAGTCAAAAGAGTCCCTAGAGACAGGGCGTGACAATTTAGTTATTTAATTGACATCTCACAGGATGTACCATCTCATTTTAAAAGAGTGTCCAAATGAATTAAATGAAGATATTAGATATTTATTCAAACCATTCAAGATACCTGCCATCTCTTCTCTTCTACATTTCATCAGTGTAACCAAACCAGAAACCACCACAGACAGACAGTCTACAGACTCAGTGTCCCCACACAGACCAACAGAACCATGAATAACCTGGACACCATCCGAGCCACCTGTCCTCACTCCCCAACCAAGGGGCATCCCATGTTCAAGCAGAGGAACACTCTCCAGTTCAAGAGCAAGCCCCCGAAGAGGGGGGGTCATTTGGGTGAGTCATTATTCATTTGATTTAGTTCTAAATAAACATATCTAAACATTAATAAATGTATTTCAAATTGTATCTCTGATTTATTTATATATATATATATATATATATATATATATATATATATATATATATATATATATATATATATATATATATATTTAACATATATACAGAATTTTAAATATTTTATTGCTTAAGGTCAGTGAAAGTGGTAAGGTAGAGAAGGAGACAGAGAGTAGGGGCTGAGGCAGGATTTGTCCAATCCCATGTCCCAATTCCCCATCAGCAGCCTCAGCCCCACCATCCTACACCACAACCCCAAGCTTTGTCCTGGCCTGAGCTGGTAGTTCTTCCAACCCCGGCCAGCTTGATCCTGAGCAGTAAAACTGTAATCCTGGGTGCAGGGCCAGCTCCAGCAGCTTCATCAAGCAGATCAGTACAGCCCAGACCAACGCAGCACAGTCCTGACTGGGGAAAGAATGATAGCACAGGAACAAGGTGCCAAGAAGAAGAGGGATATCACAGCATTTCTCTCTCTCTCTCTCTCTCTCTCTCCTCTCTCTCTCTCTCTCTCTCTCTCTTTTCTCTTTCTCTCCTCTCTCCTCCTCTCCCCCTCTCCTCTCTCTCTCCTCTCTCTCTCTCTCTCTCTCTCTCTCTCCTCTCTCTTTTTCTCTCTCTTTCTCTCTCTCCCTCTCTCTCTCTTTCTCTCTCTCTCTTTCTTTCTCTCTGTTTTTTACTTTACCTTCTCCCCCTGTCTCTCTCTGTCTCTCATCATGTTCATGTTTGTTAGTGATGGCAAGACATCTCAGTTTAGGTGATGTCCTATAATGGAAATTAACATCCTCCCTGCTCTAACTCTGGGGGCCCAGGCAGCCTCTGTATAACTAGGAAACCAGGCCTGGTATTCATAGCTGACTTTGAAAAGGCCTTTGATAAAGTACGACTGGAGTTTATATATAAATGCCTGGAATTTTTACATTTTGGAGAATCTCTTATAAAATGGGTTAAAGTTATGTATAGTTACCCTAGGTGTAAAATAGTAAGTAATGGCTACATCTCAAAAAGTTTTAAACTGTCAAGAGGGGTAAAACAAGGTTGTCCACTATTGGCATATCTATTTATTATTGCCATCGAAATGTTAGTTGTTAAAATCAGATCCAACAATAATAATAACGGATTAGAAATCCAGGGCTTAAAAACAAAGGTGTCATTGTAAGCTGATGATTCATCTTTTCTTTTCAATCCACAATTAGAATCCCTCCACAGCCTCATAGAGGATCTAGATACCTTTTCTAACCTCTCTGGATTAAAACCAAATTATGATAAGTGTACTATATTACGTATTGGATCACAAAAAAATATAACTTTTACATTACTGTGTAGTTTACCAATAAAATGGTCTGACGAGGATGTGGACATACTCGGTATACATATCCCGAAAATAAAGAAATTATCTCACTCCAATACATTTTAATAGAAAGTTAGCAAAAATAGATCTTGCTACCATGGAGAGGAAAATACCTGTCTATTTGTGGGAAAATCATCCTGATAGTTCTTTAGTCACATCCCAGTTTACCTATTTGCTTATGGTTTTGCCTACACCTAGCGACCTGTTTTTTTAATTATATGAGCAAAAAAGATTCAATTTTATTTGGAATGGCAAGCCATACAAAATTACAAGGGCCTATTTATATACTTAATATGAATTCGGAGGGCAGAAATTATTAAATATTAAAGCATTAGACCTCTCACTAAAAGCGTCAGTCATACAAAAGTTATACTTAAATCTGAACTGATTCTCTAGCAAATTAGTAAGAATGTCTCACGACATGTTCAAGAATGGCCTTTTTCCCTTTATTCAGATTACAACCTCTCACTTGTAGTAATTTGAAAATGAAATAATCTCCAAAATATAGCTATTTTTTAAACAAGTCATAGAAAGTTGGTAGCAATTTCAGTTTAATCCACCAGAAAAGACCGAACAAATAATACAACAAATATTGTGGTTGAACTCAAATATACTAATTGATAAAAATTTAAAATGTAAATCGATACATAAAAAAAAAAGAAGCATAATCTTTGTAAATGATATCATATATAGGACTGGTGGAGTTATGTCACACTTGCAGCTAACACAAATATATGGAAATGTCTGCTCTACCCAAAATCACAACCAACTAATTGCAGCATTACCGCAAAAATGGAAGAGGCAAGTGGAAGGGGGAAAAAGTAAGGAACTTGTCTGTCGGCCCTGCATTAAAGACCAAAATTGGTTAAAGAAAATTGTGATAAATAA